AGTACAATGTATAATGCAATTTAAGGCACACATTTCTTTGAATCTGGATTGATAGCACGCGTCCGCAGAAGCTTTCATTTTCGTCGAAGGGTGCCGGAATAAATAGGCACTTACAAGCCGGATGATCGAGGGACCGTGGATCATTTAATTTAATTACCTCGCGGGGGTTAATAGAAGAGATAAAGGTGGCTGCACTCGCGCCTGGATATTATATACCGTGGCCGAGTGTCGCTCTACAGAACCCTCCAAAAATAAATCCTGCCTTTCTGACAAATGCGAGCAGCGTTTCGATCCTCTCCTTCCCTTCTCTCACCACCGCCGTCGTTAAAAACTTTCACGTTATTTCACTCCGAGTAAAACATCGGAGCGATGCGATGCGAATATGAGAACTTTTCATATACTTGAATTCTTATTAAAACGAGAGTTTCCCTGAGTGAATAATACACAAATTCTACGAGTTTTTGAGTTATTACGCCGTTTCTTACGTACTTGTAATCGCGAAAAAATCGATTTTATCCCGCGAGAATAATGTTTTCGCAAAAATAAAGCGCGCGTATATTATATTCGTAAAATGATGTATTATATGTACGAAAGAAAGAGAACAATAGGGATTCATTCCGAATGTATTATATATAAGAGTGTGCCAGAATATAATAATCTGCGTCAGGCTGTGTGACTTTCGTTCCAGAAGTCAGCGGCGATTTAATTTCATAAACCGCAACTGTTGCCTCTATTTAGTTGAAAAGGGAGCGCGACTAATAGTTATGATCCCAACGTCAGATTCTTAATCGAGTTTTTCCCTCTCCCTTTCCCTGGCTGAAATTGACGTTGCACGGTCGAGTTTCGATCATGTTCGACACGTCTCCACGTTACTCGGCTCTCGCAGCGTTATATTTCATATATTATCTTAAAGAATTACATAAAGGAGAGGAAGCTTAGACACACCCTTTAATAACAAGCCGCTCCTCTAATTCTTCGACTAGTTGTTGCGACGCTTTGAAAGCCCGCTCGATTAATTTAGACGTCATCTTTAATCCAAAACCCGGCCTCTCTACCCATACTCGGCATGTTCGTTTTAGTTTCTCCACTTCGATAATTTCAACGGACGGTCGTATTAACGATATCCCGATGATACGTCGGGACAGAGAGAGAGAGAGAGAGAGAGAGAGGAAAAGAAGAGATAGTTTGACGAGAGAGAGGAAGAGCGATGAAGAGGACGGTTCGATGTGCCGCGCGGATGTCTCCAGCATTGTATGCAGATGAAGAAGGCAGGGCGACAATGACTCGGGACGACGTCGGGGCCCGTTCGTCTTGAACCGAAAGAAACCCATCCGAAAGGGATGTCTCAGGAGAGAGGGCTGCCTGCTTTGGCTCGTGCTTAGCATCGGAGTGCTCTCTTTCGGTGCCTCCTTCCATGGCAGACACGCTTATGTACTACGCATCCATACATTAACATGTCATCATCGTGTGGAAACCGAGCTGATCGAGCTGAACCTTCTCCATATCTCTCTCTCTCCCTTCCCTCGCTGCTTCGTTCAAGACTCAAAGTTAAACGCCGTCGTCATCAGACGCGAGACGTGACGCCCTCCTGTGAAGACTTGCCTCTCGAAAGTCTGCTCTCGCGCGAGGATTCAGCCGGTTCGGCCTCTTCTTCGTGGGCGTTTCGTTTGCTTGCACTGAATATCGCGAGCAATTCGTCACGCAAATTCGTGCCGGGCCGTTTTATAGACGGAATAATTACTTTGGAAACCTGTCTGTGTGCGTGCGTGTCGACGCTGTTCTTTTTGCGGCGACCGGTCGATTTGTCTGCGCCGAGACCATCCTAAACTTTCATATAAGCGCGAATAGTATTCAATAGTTTACGCGTCTCTATCAAAGATAATTATCGTCACTGATTTATAACGACTATGAATTTTTACGCTATACAAATCTAGAATTTATTTTCCTTTCAGCCGGGGAAATAAAGAACACGCGAGAAAACGAAAGACCGTTGAGTGGCAAGATTTTTTTTAGGGATGAAATGGGTAGCGGAATCAAACCTTGGAAAATCGTTTACGAGAGAATTTCGGAATCGCGAAGGGAGTTTGGGCCATTCGAGCCGGTCGATATGACTCCGGGGGTTGTTTGGCAGATACACGTACACACAGGTACGTACCCGACGGCCCTCGCAGCGGAAAAGAGGTATATAGACGGGGTAGTGATGGTAACGGCGGCGGCGGCGATGGCGGGGGTGCTGGTGCAGGAAGGGCTGGATTGGTAAACCGGTCACGTAATGCACGGCGATGAATGGACCCGCCGAGTCGAGCCCAAAGCCGGGAATTGGCTACTGGGCATACCATCTACCCCACTGCGTTAGCTTTAGCCACCCCACGGCAACGTAAAATTACACAAAGAGGTGCTCAAACCTGAGCTATCTCGCGTACCTATCGCGCGAATAGAGACGGCTCGTCGCGAAAACTTCGGACGCGCAGTGTGTTTCATTTGGAAACGATCGTCGTTCCGTGTAATCCGACGTAATTCATCCGGATTCTAAAAATTATGTAATGTATTATATAAAAATATGTCAAATTACATTTAATTATTTAGGTGATTTTACATCTTTTCTAATTACAGTATACGATATGCTATATGAATTGTACGGAAATTACGTATATTGATTGAAACGAGGAAAAAGTTTTATGTGATGTAAAATTGTAGTTTTTATTTTATAGAATAAAATTTAAATTTGTCGTGTAATTATTATCTGTAAATCTTTCTGGAAAGGTATGTAATTTAGTGAATGATTAATATAATAAAAAGAAACTGTATAAATTTTGGAAAAATATACCATCCGTGAATACTGAATCACAAGTATTGTGCATGCTAGAAGCATCTGCCTCATTACGTCAGCTTTAACCGCCTCTCGTTAAACGCACAATTATATAGTGATGCCCGTCTATTTCGTGGCAGTTTACGCATAAATGTGCATAATGAAGACACGCAGTAAAATACTCGTGTAATACTTTCTTAAAAACCTCGGTATCAAATTAATTCTTTTGTGTTGTCCCTTTGAGACAAATTACGTCCGCGCGGCATCAGGATGCAGCGAATGTGTCGCGTATAATCGCGCAAAGTCAGGAGTTTGATGTTACGTAGCACGATTACGAGAACCCGACTACGTCAGCTCCAGTCGGCTCGCTTAAAACCATAAAAAGGGTGCTCAAACCGGATAACCCTTAGTTCTAGAGCGAAACGCTGCGCGAGATATCTGCGCGCGAGTTATAATAGCTCATCACGATCGTGACATATTTTTCTCCACTTATTCTCATACACGAAACTACTCCTTAACATTAAATTATATACAGGTTTAATAAAAGATTTTACTTACCGATATTGGTGCGCCGATATTGCTGATCCTATATGAATGACGAGTTTGACGAGCTTTCGCAAGGACGACATTATTCGTAATCAGGATTCCATTTGCGGAACTCTCTCGGGCCTGGCTCCTCGTTGTCATCATCATAGAGAGATCGTTCCCTCCCAGCTCGGACACGATGTCGTATGGAAACCGAGGCGCGTACCCCTGCGCGCGTACTCCTGGACCCCCTTATGCAATCTAAAGCAAGCCTCTGATCTGCCATAAAGTCATTTCATAACCCATCCCGAGGGTTAAGTACCCCTCGAGTCCCAAATCCCGAGTTAAGCACGAACCCACCGAGAGCTTCAAACTTTCACGACACGATCTCCAACCTCTTTCCTTCCTCGTTCCGCTTCTTGCCTTCCGCGGCGTTATCTTTCGACAATTAAAGCTACAAGGATGATACTCGCTGAAAAGTTACGCGAGAAACGGTCGATTATTTCTACGAATTGTGGCGATACCCTAATAAGTTCTCTCGAGCTTATCTTGCAATAAATAAATGTATTTGAATTTTACAAAATGACATATTTTACAAAATGTTTTAATCTTTTTCAGAAAATGTGATTAAAGATTTAATAAAAGTTTAGATGGCATAGTTCGATTTTTTAAATATTAAGCTTTACATTTATATTAAAATAATAATTATTATAATTTATAAAAAATATGAGAAGAATATTTCTTCAAGAAATTGGCAAACCTTCGTTCGCAGATAACGATGCATCAATTTTTCAATTCGACGGTGTGATAGTGCGATTGAGATTTTCATACCTACGATTAATCTCGATGCTGACGTCCAACATTATTACGCAAACTTGCGAAGCTAAATAAAATTGTGCATAAATTATAGGCCGTCTTGTAACGCGTTCGCGACGCAACGAGTTTCCTGGGTAGCACAAGGCGAAGAGAAAAAAAAACACGGTGACACTTGCGACTCGGAATTAAAAAGTAATAGCTTGTTATAAATCAAATGTCTTGTCAGCGGGTGTGGCGGCCGGTCTTTAAGCTGCCGCTGAGAAAAAGAACGGGGGGATGGGGGGAGGGGAGGGTGCAGAGGCGAAAACCCTTTCGTTAATTGCGCATCGCAGATGCCGGGCCGTTGCACGCGCTCTTTACGAGCCGCTCTTTCCCTCGGTGCAAACACAGACACGAAGGGGTGAGCGAGAGACTGTACGCGGAGAGAGAAAAGCCGAGCTTCTTTGTGTTCTCCGGAGAAAAGTTCCTCGCGCCGTAAGCTCCGAAAGTGTCTTTAAAAGCGATTACGACCGTGCCTCGTAATCGTAACACGATCCGTTTACCGCGCCGAGAAGAAGAACAGGAATTAGAACGCGTTCGACAAATTCCGTATAGCAGAAGAGTCCGTCGCCAAATTCCAAACGACTTTGGAAGACTGTAATTAAACGACGAGCCTCGCGTGCTCGAACGAGATTTCGACTCGGCGGTGATAGTCTTGTCACGACTTGAATATTTTTCCTATCCACTATTCGTGGGTTTCGTTGAATCTCCAATTAACCGAGATTTTATCCGATAATCGACGCGTACGGCTTCGTTCAATTCATAATCTTAGTTTTACTTTTCGGAAGAAGAAACGAGACACAGTGGCAAATATACATAAAATAATGTATTTATTATAATACCCCACTTCGCTACAGCGATTAACATTGATTTAACACAACTTATACCGTAATTCTATGTAATTATGTATTTCCACACTGAGACACGATGCCTGGCTGCGACTGGATTTTTCTGGAGAACGATTGCTTGCAGGAGGACGATGCGAGACACAACTCTGTAAGCTAAAACACAAAGGCACTTCTTATTTTTCTCATTGATGATTCTCGAAATGTCTGCCGACGCACGATTATTCTCGCATCTCTCCGCGTAAATACGGAATCGTTAATATTTCGTTTGCGAACGTCGGTGACGCTTTAACTCATTACTGTCCCGTGCCACGATCCCGCCAAGTGGACACTCAAATAAAGATAAATAAAAGCGCGCGAGATCGAGCAGTTACGAGATGTCGTCTTTGGGGAGTCTACGAGAGAGAGCCAGGGGATATCTAAAGCGAGAGATCTCTTCTTCGCGAAGAGGAGACTGCTGGACGACGACGAAAGAAAAAGAGAGAGAAAGAGAGGAGCTGGTGGAACCCTGGAGAAACGTTATTAATTGGCTACACGATAAAACAGTGTTAGTCCCCATTCGCTGTCCTTCGGCTGGACCCCCCTGGTTTCCTCTTAACATATGGGGCCACGCGACTTCTTCGCGCACGTGTGCGCGTATACGTTCGTACGTGTATCGCGAAGTTGGAGGTCCGATGAGAATTACGAGGAAAAAGAAATTCCGAAGGCGTCGTGCAAACCCGGGCGAACAACCCGTTTCGACCGAAATTCTTCGCGTCGCGAGAAACACGGGACCTCTAGTGTCTCTCGAGAAAAAAAAATCGATCGCGCGTCGGAAATTGTGTCTAACGTACAACTTAATTGGACAATTAAATTTTTTTTTTTTAATTTATTTCTTATCGAAATTATAAAAATGTTTGCTAATATTAAAATAGCATTTCAAATTATTTTATCAGACAGAGCCTAACAGTGTATATACGTATATTCTCAGTTTTTAAGTGTGTGCATATTAATATTATTAAATCACTAACTGTAAAAATCAGCTGGCACGAGCCCGACATAAAAAATATAGTCCAAATACGATCAGTATTACAGAGATAAACGCTTCTGTACTGTTTCGAGATAGCGACAATAGAAGAATAAGAATTATATAGCCGAAAATAAAGTTTACCGTCCCTTTTTCATTCCCTCGTTTCCCTCGTTTTTATTTCTCTTCGTCAAAACACAATCGTTCACGGTTGATGTCATTCGCCAAAAAGATTTTATTTACGTAGCATTTATTCTTAATTTATATTAAATATACAATAAAAACTAATAAAATAAAATTAAAATTTAATTCTGCTAATTTATACGAATCTATCTAATATCGGTTTAAGTAATATGATGCGTTACAGAATTAATTGAATCTGGTATATTTTTTATCATGTTACACTTTATGTTGTAACTAATTAAACATTTTTTACCGCATAATATACAATGTTACAAGTTTATCTTTGCTTACAACCACATCTATTTTCTCTAAGATAGCAACTCTAATCAAGTCCAAAGAAAATCTCTCAGTAAGGGAAGAAACAAGAGCAAGTACCGTGTAAAAAGACTCTTATCTCTTATCAAGGTTTCGATATTATGCCTCGTCAACATATACCTTCCTTATTCGCGTGCAAGCGTTTCGGACTCGCCGACAATTTCTCGTCTCATCTATCAAAGCCATTTTCCTTTTATTAACGTGCTACTAATTAAGGAGCGCGTCGCAGAAACGAGTGACACGAGACGCGCAAGATGTGCACGATAATATATACGCGGTCTAGTAGGATTTTTACATGGAAAATAGACGGATAGCACGCGGAGAAGAGTCGCCAGGGGAATATTCGAGATCCGCCGTTCTCTTATCTGCTTGTATCTTTCAGCCCCTTATAGGCTCTTTCTCTGTCTGTCATCCTCTTTTTCCCTCTTTCCGTTTCTCCATCGTGCTCTTCCTTTTACAATGACTTTTAGTTCCTTTGCTTCACTCGTTACACTCGGTGTCGATGGGGTACATACATATATCGCGTGTGTTTGGTACCCCTATCGTTTCTCTACCTCTTCTCTATTTCTTTTTCTCTCTCTCTCTCTCTTTCGTCTTTTTTTTCCCTCTTTTATATCGATGCCTGCATCCGTTCGCTGTTGTTGTTGCTGTTGTTGTCCCTCCCGAGGATGAGGGAGTGCGCACGAGGGCTATGGGCCATAAGGGCTAACAAGGCGATTACTCATACCTTCCATAAGAAGAAGTTACAAGCGGCTTCGAAGGTTTATTGCGGCAAATGGCGAAATTTGTACCTTGCTAACGATTTGACCGTCCTTTTTGCTCCTGTCATCCCCTTCTCTCTCGTTCTTTTTTTCATCCTCCTCCATGCATCCCTCGATATGCGCGACTCTCGTGATTTAGCGCTCGATACATGTAATTATGCGGCGAACATCGACGTATTTTGAAACCGAGTGACACCGACCTATCGATCGCGGAGAAACCGCGAACCGTATTTTATCGTTATCGACGTTTCTGAAACCCGCGAACGAAACCCGAAACGCGACCTATCAAATATTTGTACAACGTATATCAATCAGCTGTCGAGACATTTCTAGTTCTAGAAATTTTAATAAATTTTTTTACATCCAGAAACATACAGCCAAGAAAAAAATATTAAGCGAGACAATTTCTCTAACTATGAAAATCAAAGAAAATGTTCTAATTTCCTAAATAATCCTTGATTTGAATTTTAAATGTCAAAATCAATAAAAATGACTAATAAGAGCCAGACACAAAAAATTATTTTTAAATTCCTCTACACATTTACATAAATCTTTTATTTTTATATAAAATAAATAATTTTGCACCTAACCGTCTGGCTCTTACTTTTATATATATATATATATATATATATATATATATATCTGATTTTGTATTTATATGTCAGAGCATTTTCGATCTATCATTTGAAATGACAAGGTAGGATTTGTCGAGAAATAAAAATATATCTCACCTCAAATCCGACGATATTGTCGAGTCCGTTCGAGTGTCCTGACTGCGCGCGATCGACAGACGACGCGTTCCGGACGTCCCAAAAACCTTGACGACCGATCCTTGACGGCTGATTCGGAGGCCCCGACTTAGTTTTCGGCGGCTCTCTCTCTCTCTCTCTGGCAGTCGGGGAGGGGGGAGGTCCATCGTCGAGTTCGGTGGATCCGAAAATGGGTCCGGGGGATGATCGGCAATCCGAGGGCAGGAAACTGCAATTTCGCAAAGTAGGGCCTTAGGTTGGGATCCGTCTTTATTCCGAGGTCAAATTCGCGGCTCGCTTGTGTCGAGGAAGGGACTCTCTCTCTCTCTCTCTCTTTCTTTCTCCCTTTTATCTCTCGATCTTGTTCTTTTCTCTTCATATATGTTCTCTGGCCGGCCTACGGCAGCTCGAGCTCCGGCAAGCTCTAATTAGATTTTAAGTGAGAAATTGAGCCTGCCGGCAATTTTAAGGAAGCCGAACACACCGCCCTGATTAATATCATTATGCGCGTTCGCTTGTTACACCGTAGGGCCCACGAGATGGAATCCGCGGATATACAGGTAGGTCCAAAACCCTTTTGTTATATAATTCACCACAGTTTACTATTCAATCAAATCGACTTGAAATCTTCATTCAAGATATAGTGCAATCGCTATTTTAGATTATTTCTTTCGAAAGTGATCAGTTTTCTATAAATCCCTATCATGTTTTCATTCTATGTATTGCGAAATTGTGTTTTACTGTATAATGAGAAAACAGAAAAATATACTAACAAAATACGATATTAAAAATCCACATTTCGATCGCTGAAAAATCTTAACGAGTCGTTTTGCCGTTTTTGTTATAAATGAACGAAACAAATGTGATTCTTGGAGCGTGCTATATCAAAAAATGCAGCGGCTCTTACGCATGGTCAAGATAGCCGAAGGACGAGAGGCGGAAGAGAAGCTGCAACGAAGAAAGACCCGCCGAACCACTGGGGAGAGGAAGGAAGATATGCCATTACAAACACTTATTTTCGAACGATCGCGCGCGATGGTGCCACGGAAGGAGAACAACTTGCAATTATCATTGTTACACGGGATGCATCGCCTGCATCGAACGGTCACTTTTTTTGCTTTTTCACCGCGAACTTATTCTCTTTCTCTGCCCATAGGCGATGCTAATTTTTGCGTTTTGAGAAAACAAGACCCATTGTCCGCGATCGCCTCGTTCGTCCGACACGCGAATCGTGCAGATCGAAACGTAAATTTCACGCGCGTGCGTTAAAAAATTTTAAATAATTGCACGTGAAGAAAAGAAAATTAGAAATAAGTTACGAATCAAACTCTCTGCGATTTATTGCGATTATATCATTATTAGTGAAAGATTATTAAATAAAATTTTTAAGTGTTCTTTATAATAAATCTCTCTTCGAATAAATATCGACACCTTCTTTCTTCCTTCGTGCTTGCAAAAATCACGAATGCAAACGTGAAAGAATCAGAGAGAATCGAGAGAACCTGTCACCAAAACAACACGTACAAATGTGATGTTAAATATGCATAACTGGCGCTATATTGCTACACGTTTGCTTTAATGATAGCCGACTGGATGTTACAAAAAGGGTGTGCTGTAACAGATTATATATATTATCTAATCGCTTAAGTAGCACGTAATCATTAAGATTATATTAATTATATTATTATCAAGTATAATCGCACGAACGGATGGATTAGAAATTGGCCTGAGAGAGTCGTTGTTGTTTTTTGTAATGAAATAGTGAGTTCGTATTATTAGCGCGATTCAGCGGTGGAATATTTTTACATAAATCTTCATCTTCAACGTAATCGACGTGTGCGGTTGCACAGCGGTCCTGTTACTGTTGAATGTCGATGACGCTGTCGTTAACGCTGGACGATCCAAATCATTAGTCTCGGCAAAGTGCCGTCATTAGCACAGCATTAAATGGTTATTAAGGCGTGCATGCCGGAAAAATGTGATCTCTCTCTCTCTCTCTCGGACGAATAAATTAGACGAGGGAAAAAAACCGACGCGTTTACTATTAATCACCAGACACGCCGTTAGCGTCGCGCATCGTTTTATATCGATTTCTAATTCAGTGCTTTTGGTGCCGTTTGCTCGTCATATTGTGATAGTTTAACGACATAACATTGGCTGGCACACCGGTTTTGTGATTGATGTATATAAATAAAAATGGATGTACAAATATCCGGTTTGTTCGTTCGCACTAATTAAGCCTCGAAGTTTGACAGGCCTGATTAAAATTCGTATAATCTAAAAAAACTGCCTGACAAAAATATTACAATATAAATCATATTAACGCGTATTACAAACTCTCTCGTTAGAAGAGAATTTTAGAGTTCTCTAAAGCGAGTATCCTCGAAATCTTGACATTTCGAACGTAGCGACTTAATGACGGGTCGCGAACAGTGTTATACATCATCGAAGCGATTTTTCCGAATGACAGCCACCGGCGATTACGTAAATGCCATTACGGAAGCAACGTGCGTGCCTCCGGTTTATTTCGTAAAAGAGAAGCATAATGAATGGTGGCGCGGTCGGATAGACTTTACCCTTCGAACGACGACGATCATAGGCGCTATTCATCAGCTGCGCTCTTTTACCACCGGCGTGACGTGCCGTGGCTAATGGGACCTTTAAAAGCGCCGGACAGCGACGATAATCCCAACGTTCCACTTCACGGCCGCCCTTCCACGCGCACGATTTCCCGAAATCTCGTACGAGCGTCACGCGTGTATCACCTGTCGCGCACGCAAGCGCAAAAAAAATATGTTAGCATGCAGGTAGCATAACTCCACCGATGGCTCGGTGAGGTTTGACCTACGTGTCGATCTTTTTTTATTTTTCTTTTTTTTTTTTAGAAACATACGCCGAGCTCTTCTGAATAACTTTTGCAGACCATTAGCGCGAATGTAATGAAATGTTAATCTAGCTTCTTCTCAAACTATTTTTAACAAATAAAGTATACTTCCTAAAGTCTTTTGACAAAGTTGCTGAAACTTGAGTTTGATTCAATTTTATATAAACATGTCGATTTATGATATTTCTATCTCTTTTTCTCCGCATTTTCTGCACTTTGATTCTAAGTACGAGATCTCGTGCAGATTACGAGGTCTCATAATGAAGTTGTTAACGCAGCGCGAGCTGGGTTATAGCCCCTCAAACTTAATGCGAATAAATCAGCAGTTATAAAATATTACACGTATGAAGGATTTATTACGTAGAAATAATTATATAATTTAACACGTTCAATGGCGCATAAATTTTGCGTGACTCGCCGCGTGGTCGCGCGAGAAAAAATTAGTTATGCATAATTCTCTTATATTCTTGTCGGTCAGCGCTAATTCACGTGGTGTTAAACGCGTGTTAATTAATCCGGTAATATTAATACTTAAGGGAGTAGATAAACAAATAGCGGTAATAGAGAGGCTTTGAATTTAATCCGTTGCGCAGTTGAATAATGATAAATAAACGACAGTATGTGATATATAGAGAGACGGACGTCTTGTGTATCAAGTAGTTCGTTCCTCGAACGCGGCTAAAAAATGAGCCAGGAGGTGCCCACTTAGCTGGCTTAATTAATGACCGAATCCATCATCGGGACGTTCCCACAATGAAGCAGAAGAGCTTCTGCCACCCTACGAGCAAAGCCTGCGCGCAACTCTTTTTTTCTCGACTACCGCCTCTTTTCACGCATATTGCCAAGTAGACAAAACCGCGACGCAACTGGCTGCTGGCCAGTCCACCTTTCCAGAACGAAGGCCTCCGCCATCCTCGCCTATAACGGTCGCACGGAACCGTTTCAGGAGGCTGAACTCGATTTCTAAACTGGATTTTGACAACACCTTGAAGAAACATCTCGAAACGAGGGTAAAAAGCGCGAGCCCCTCCAACTGACGGCGAAATCGCGACGCAATTTTCTTTCGGTGAGAAAGACCCCGTGCGAGAGTTATCGATCCATGACATTGGCCGAGCCATTAACTAATAATCGGGCAAAATCGGAAAAGATCGGGGCAGGCACGATTCCTCGGTAAATTCATAATTACACCTTCGACCGTTCAAGAAATCTAGAATTAGCGAGGTCCACACGCGCAGAGACTGGATGAAAGTCGGACGTATCAGTGTCGCGAGATCGTCGTCTTCGGAGACTATCAAGTCATCAGAGCGGCAGGAGCGCGTGCAGGAGGCGGCCGATGATAAATGATACGTTGAAATCTAGCTGTGGTAGCACGGCTGGAACCGCGCGCTGGAACGACGATGCGGCGTGAAACTTCCTCCTCGGACGAGAAGTGGAGGAGAAGGGGACGAGAGGAAAGAAGAGGAAGAAGAAAAAAAAAGTCGAGAGAAGAGAGAGAGTCTGGGACGAGCGACGAGAGCTCATCCCGCGCTGCTCTGCCTCGTAGTGACCGGTAACCGGTGCTGACCGGTCAGCATCGGAGAGAATCCCAGAGAGCGAGAGCCAGTCTTGCAGAGTCCCGAAGGCTAGAACTCCTAGGGAATCCAAGCAAAACCGGTCCAGTCGGATCCGGAGCACCCGCTGGTCAGTCCGGGCTGCCGACTATCCTCTACCTGATCTTCCTTCTTCTCATCGTTTCTCTCGCTCTCTCTTTCTTGCCTTCTCCGAACGACCACCTTGTTGCCTCGGAACACTCGACCGCGTCTCTTCACCGCCTGTAAAAGCATTGTGGACAAGACGGAGAAGAACCTGAACACGCCCCACCGACTGTCGAAAATCGATATTTCGTGCAATTATTCGCACGACGCGCCAAAGGGAATTTCGCAATAGTCTTCGTCTTGTCGTCGCGTCTATTCCGCGATCGGATGTACGAGGCGGATTCTCCGCTTGCTGTCGTGCAAAGCGATATTCTTACGTAATGGAAAAACATTCAAGGAGGCAGAGAGAGAGAGAGAGAGAGAGAGAGAAAGAAGAGAGAGAATCTTTGCAGTCTGCGGGATTTTAAATACCAACCATATGACGGATGCGACTCGAACTAACTCTTCCTTTCACTCCTTCGTCGTTGCTGACAGGATATATTTTTCGCTCGCGCCAAGTTGCATTGTTTAAGTGCACGCGACAAAATCTACTTCCTTTTTATATGCCATATATATTTGATATAATTACGTTAGGCTCTTATCCTAGAAATCAATATTTTTACGCGTCATGTAATCATGCTCTTTTTGAAAAAAAAAACTGGTGATCTTCGGTAAGATTTGGACTTCCGATTTAAAAAATTTTCACTGTATCTATTAGTACATCAACATCCCTTAACAGATAATAGATAATCCGCTAATCATCGATGTCGAACACTTCTGAACAATGACACGACAACACGGTGGTATGTGCGAGATAACAAACGTCAAAAGATGATATCTTGAGGTATTTACAGACAAAAATATCGAGCGTCGTGGACATCGATGACGTGATTACTATGGAACGTCGACGTCGCCGTCATCGTAAACTCACGCCCGTGACGAATCGCCCCTTGAACTATGCGGAGGACGACAGTTCCGTTTTGTCTCGCTCTCTTTCTCACCCAAGGCTCTGTGCCGAGAAGACGACAAAAGGGCCACCGGTGTGTAAGAACGAGCCGCGTGACCCTTCGAGGGCATCGTCATGATCGATTCTACGATCGATCTGTCACCATTAGATTCCAAGGTGGGAGATTCTCGCACGCTCAAAAAAAAAGAGAGAGCAGCTTTCTGCGTAGTTGTTTTATCGCACCAATAGCGGCACCCTATGATAGCGCGACACGGTTGTCGATACTTTAATTATTTATTTAGAATGTTCCAGTTAGACCGGATCTCTTCGTAACGATTTCGCAGCGACGAGAGTCGCGCGAACATGATATGGAATATCGCAGCAGGCCACGCGCGTAATTCCAAAGCTCGGGAAGGTGCGTAGGTAGTTGGCTATTTGCGTGCTCGATACATTCCTGGCGAAGACTGTACGATATTAACTCAAGTTCGCGTAAATTAGAAGCGAACGATGATACGGTCGAGAAATACGTGGGCTCCATATCTAGGAAACTTCCTCGCGCGACCGAGCTCACGTAGAAAACAACCGAGTGAGAGAGAGAGAGGAAAAAAAGATGATCGTAGAACCAAGTAAAGCGAAAATCGGAGTCGCTTAACGAAGGATAATAAAGACATCGATGGGTAACGATAAAGCGCGAAACGAAGCGATGAGCTGTTAAGTTATCGCAAAGTTATCCGCACCGAATCCCGCGTCTCTCTCGGCTCTGAACTCTCTTTTTAATCTTTAATCAGTTGATCGCGATCGGTGTATCTCACTTTCGCGGACTCGCATAGCGGAAATCTTACACCGGACTGTTGTTTTTCCGCGGACGAGCAGTTTTGCGATCAAATAAAATGTTAGAACGCAATAAACTCTCACAGTCTCTCTCTCTCTTCGTCGAAACGGTTGTTACATATGTAGTTTATAGTAACGATTTTTCTGTCAGATATCGCGAGATCACACGTTGTTATTATCACGAATAAACGTGTGTAATATGCAATTCTACATTATAAGTTATATAATTTATAATTTATAATTCTCCCGATTGTATAAATCTTTCTGTATTCATTTCGGAAATTCCGGAGACAATTTCTTTGTAGCACAAGTCGATTGAAATACGCCTGACCTTACTATATCGTGACATGATTTATGTCCCATGACTGAATTGCAGGAACAGGTTGGTTGTCGAAAATTATCCAAGAAGCACGTATTCCTTTAGAAAGTGGGAAAACACAAAACTTTTTACCTGGGTCGAACTACCGTTCGAAGAATCGAAAAAAGGAAGGGCGGAACACCGGAAGCCACGGGGCAGGGAACCAACGTCCTGAGCTCTCTCTCTCTCTCTCTAGACAATTCGTCGGATTCCGAGCGATAGACACCTCGCTGGCACGCTCGAGTTCTCGCAGCGCAGCATTCGAAAAGGATCGTGCCGAAACGGTATACTCGTAGGATTACGCGTCCCCTTCGTCTCCCCCCTTTCTCCCCCCCCCTGCTACCCTCTGGTTCCCCTACACCACCGCGACTCGTCTCACCTCGTCTCATCGAGTCGAGCTTCTTCCTCTCCTTGGAGCTCGACCACGACCACGCCATCGGCACGTACATGAAAACTTTTACACAAACGCTCGCCGACGTGGCGAGAGATACCCCTTGCTCCTCGATGGAAGCTCGAGCTTCTCTCTCTCTCTCTTTCTCTCTCGGGGCACGATATGAGGCCCAGCGAGAAGGCCCCGGGCCGAGAGCGGTCGCTCCCTTTGAACTTTCCTGAAGTTTCGCTCACGCTAACCAGAGGTTCTCAGAGACAGCTCTACGAGAAGCTGTCAGTGAAGCCGAGAGAGTGGCCAGCAGCTCTTTAACGCGCTATTGTAATGTCCATTATTATTTAAATTCGCCTTGTTTGACCCTCATACTTTGTCGTCCGCAGCCCATAGTTCATCGGTGGCGATGTGTATCGCAGAAAATAATGTTTAAACACAACAGAGGCAGACCAAAGAATCAAGAATTAAGGAAAACACTCGTCGCGAGGGAAACATTTCTATTATAATGAAAAAAGAAATTGCAAGAAGAAAAATTAGAAATTCTTTCGTTTAAAGGAATAATCCTTGACGAGCTGAATTTTTTTATATTCCCGACATCTTAACGAGGCATAATTAAGCGGCGAAAGGTAGGAAGCGATCATCGATACTGGTGAGTATAGCAGCCACTGACACGGTAATTACCGCTATTACATCCTACCGAACGTCGTATTTAACGGATAAACGCCATTCGCCTACTAATCGCGCGAGAAACCCATTGATCGATCACATTCGATGCATCTCGTGTTACGTTTCGCCTCTATGCAGTCCTTTTTTCAAGGCTATTACACTTTCCACGGAATTTCTCGTAATGGTCGCTCGAATATCTGCGACTCTCGTTACGGTTATTGTTACGGTTACGTAGTCGATATTAAAATCAATATTCCAGAGATTTAGATCTATCGGCGCTAAGGTTTTTCATCGAAACTGTGATCGCCAAAATAATTGTTTGACAAAAAGTCTATATTATTTATGGCACACAAAACAATATATATGCTTAATTTATATCAAACATATGCTTAGGCAGAATTATTTCTTAATTTTCTCTCTGATAAATATTTTGTCGACAAAAACGATATGATTGCCCTGCGTTCTCTTTATTCCTATATATCTCTCATGAAGGGATCCAGGTAAATGCACCGAATGCGTTTACCTTCCATGTAATCCTGTAAGAGCCCCTTAGTACGCTCCGCGAACTCCATTGTCACGCGATCTTAACTTCTACGGATTATAAACTGTTTTTTTTATTTGGTATTAGTGTTTTGCTCACTACTTTGTCTCCTTCTCTCGCACAAATGACCCCTGCTGCGCGAGCTAGGCTTTGGTTTTTGTTCCATAAATCCGATGAAACGCCAGTTGCAACGTTGCCACTGAAGACGTCGACGGGAAAAGGAATTTTCCCGTGCTCTCGACAATTAAAATATTTGTTCGAGTTTTAAACTAAAGGTGTACGAGAAACCTACGTAGATTCTCACATGGGCAAGGTTCGAAACAAAAAAAATTGAATTCGTCGATATATCGCTTTTGATTTCGACTAGCGTAAATCTCAAGCTCGCAAAACAATCGGATATTTTATTATAAAAAATAATCTTTTATACTTTTAATAACCAATAATATTTTAAAGTGTTTGCGAGCAATATAGCAGCTATCGTTTGAGCAATATTTCGCAAACGGCCGGCTCTCGCGTGCCGAGACGCATGTTATGAACGGCCGTAAGAATTTTTTTGGCAATAAATATCCTTCGGTGCGAGCTTTATCACGACATGTACCAGCAAAAAGGATAAAAAAAAACAGGAATATCGCGAGCGCATACATCCCTTTTGCCTTGGACCGGCGCGATGCATGGATAAAGCTGGATCCATAATTCCTCTTTCTCTTTTCCCTCTTGCACGTACCATCCGTAATTAATGAACACCATGTAGAATAGGGAGAATTATTGCATGGTTTACGGGCGCGGGTTCTTCTTTTGTGGAAAGACCGAGATTGAAATCGTGCCCACGGATACAAGCAAATTTATGCTCGTTCTCGTAATACGGAAAAAGGAATGAATCATCGAAGCCACGTGATCGGCTACCGCGAATAATCGAATCCTTTTTTATCAATAACCGAAATTGGCTATCGCAAAATTATATATATGTAACTGTTGAAGTAAAAAATGGGCTTAAGATTAGAGCCATGTATCAGTTGAGATACTTGGATTAAAATACGGTATTTCTGAAACTATTCGACTCAATGATTTAGAGGAAATACATAAATATTTCTTTTTCCGTTTGATGTTACGCATCACTTGAGAGCATGTCGATATCTTGCATAAATTTAATTTTTATTGTTACAGGAGTCCCAATCTACAAAGTCCTCATCGAACTGGCGCACCAGAGACAATTTGTATATATTCGACGTTTCAATTAAAACATCATCTCGCGGTCGTTTATGGTCGTGTTAAGAAAAAGTGGCACCTTTCGGAACCAGACGATCCGGACGGTTTTCCGTCCGTCACTAGACTTGGACAGCTGCGTCGTGGACCCCCGTAAACGACTAACGGGGCCCCATCATAGCGCAACGTGGATGAAACTACGAGGATGTGTGCTATCGAGAGAAAGAGAGAGAGAGAGAGAGCGCGCGGACAAAAACTATGGATCGCGCACAATGGTCACATTGTGACGGGTGTATCCACAAAAGGCGTCGATCGAAGCGAGAACAGCCAGCGTCGGCATCGTGCCAAAAATCGGCTCGGAAAGCTGGCGAAACGCGCGTGCTCCATCATTCCACATCGGGGAGAATGTAGCAAGGGGACACCCGGTAGCCGCCGATGACATATACATCGGCTCTCCTTAACAGTAACATTTATATAACAGATACGTTTTTTTTTATATCAATTAAGGAGACGTAAGAAAAAACCCAGCCGGTTTTCGTTTTTTAATTGTGCGTTGCGTAATCGAGATTAATAAGATCGTCCGTTTCTCATATCACACAACAGCGATAAAATTATATATAGCAAGTCAAGGTAACGGGAAAGAAAAATTGATTAATGGTTAAATAATAAGGAATGACAAAAAACGCGAAATTAATTGCGATCTCGGGCTCTTTCTGAAAATTATATTAAAGATCAACGGCAAGGATATATTGGCGTTATCGTGAACCTGAATTAATTTCTATTTAATCATATGCCGGTAGAATGCGCTCTTTTCGTGGAACTAGCTCGACGCACATATCCAGAGAGACGTAGGGAAAAGTAATTTGCGGAAATAAGCATGAAACATGCTGGCGGCCTAATCAGGAAAGTCTACTATGTTTATAGAAGGAAATGTCACGCTTACGTTCTCGCAATTACATTTCACGGAATATATTTCCGAGAGCTCACACATAATTCGAAACTATGATAACAGCGGAATGAAACTGACTTACAATTTAGCTTTTGTCTTGCGAATCTTGCGAATTTATATATAAATATTATAAAAGTATAAATTAAGTTAATATATTATAAAAATACGTTATTTAATTTTTTGCGTAAATATTAAATTAATTAATCATATTATACTGTTATAATGGGAAATATTCTACAGATTAATCAAAAGATCTCCCGTGTTATCACAATAATCATTTATTATTAGGTGAAGATCAAATTAATTATGCATATTATAAAGTAAAATTAACAAGTCATGCATTTTTTACGCAACGCAAATGACGAAACAACGGCGAGAAACAGCAGCCTCGCTAACATAAATCGCTAAGCAACGATCGGCGCGGAAAATCACCGGCGCGAAACTACCGCGCGAGACCGCAGTCAATTAATCTAAGGACGCGATTCCTCCGCTTGCAACTTTATCGCCGGTGTTGTGACTCACGACGATCTTCGTCGCACGCTATTGCACGAGTCACGAATCCGCAATGAGTCTGAGTATACGATCCTTGGTCACGGAAGATCGCCCGGGAAACCGCGAGAGATCTCAAGAAAGGTATTCCAAGCCTTCGCTTGTGCACGAGAATGTCGATAATGCTACTACGAGCCATCGTCGATCGTAAGACTTCATCTATTGTTAGTGAAAGGAGCGTAACCAAAATTTTTCAGCAAGTACCAAAAATATAGTAGATAAGTCTTCAGGGCGTCCAGCAGACTCAATGAAAAAAATTCCCTGGCTTTTTCAGATTTTCTAAAACCAGAAATTAATTTTTTCCCTGACTTTTTAATATTATTTTTTCCAAATATATAATTTGCATATATCTAAATGAAAATCAATTAAATGTTAAATCATGAAATCCTTGAGATTTTTTGGTCAACAATGAAAAGGTTCGGAAGTTAAAACAGAAATTAAAATCGATTATACAATCTGCATTATGCTATTATATTAAACTATTTAAATAATTGCCTTTTTTATTTATATTAAGTATATCAAATTTTTTAGTTTTGTCTCTATTAAACACATTGAAATAAAATAACGCGACGATGAAAATATTGAAATTAACGAACCCGCTATGTAGATGAATCGATTTTTAACAACACAGAAATTTAGCGTGCTGGGAGTCAAAGAAAAGTTATATTTATAATTATGTAATAAAAAATTTCAAATTACAGAGTAACAAATATAGAATAATGTGAAACAATCCAGATAAATAATAAAATTTCCTTACTTTTCACTGACAATTCCAGATTTATAAAATTCCCTGACAATACCCCGGACAATTTGCAGAGTTCCCTGACCGCTAGACACTCTGGTCTTATAAATTTAATATATTGTAATAAAAAAATGATAAAAAATAAATTTAATAAATATAAATTTAAAGATATAAGACAGGCAATAAGAGCCAACTCACGGATGACAGTGCGTTATCCTAACGAAACTAAATTTTTCGTTAGGATTAAGTATCTGTGCACAATGCCTTGATGGGATAACGCACTGTCATCCGTGAGTTGGGCCTCTCTTATATCTTTAAATTTATATTTATATTACAGAGCCTTGTTAAACTCTAAATTTAATAAAAATAATAAATATACATTTTTATACCCGAGAAAGATTCTTGATAGTGAATTTTCGAGGTATGTTGTATTTGGAAAAAGTGCCGATGCGGCGCCGTGAATCGACGCGCGAACCCCACACATTCTCTGCCTCCCCCTATTTATAACGCAAACAAAGGTGACAAAGAGCCGACAGAACGGGGGAGATGCACTCCCTTTCTCTCCGTGTTTTGCGCTAGTCGAGATAGAGCTTCTCTCACCTACTATATATACGTTACAGCCGCTAATGCCACCGGACAACAATGCGATCGCACGCGTCCGACCGCTAATTCCTCACGTTTTCTCTCTCGCCCCTCCTATTCCGATACATCAACTTCCAGTCGCCCTACACCTCGCGCAAAATCTGACTGTACCGAATCCGAAATTGGATTTCAGGAAAAGCCGCTGGGAGGTCCTTTTTTTCGCTCGAATCTCTCCATCTGCTCAACACGCTTCCATCTTCCGCGTCTTTCATTTCGTAAAACATATGTAAAAAATATGGAAAGATTTTTTCAAGCATCTGTGATGCTGTGTGCACTATAAATATTTGCAAAATTTAACGTTGTCATGAATTAAAAGTTATAATCAAGTGACTTCGAAGATAGTTTTTTCCTAATCCATAGACGTTAATTGCAAGTTTGTTGAAACATATGATTTTTATACATCATCGAGAAAAAATAATCGTTGATGTAAAATAAAGTGCGAAAGCAGCGGAAAGTAGACGTCCAGAAAGTTGCGGAACGTCCATTGAAGGCCGACGCGCTTACAAGAGCTCCTATCGATGTGATGGAAATGCAAATTCTACGGCAAAGTCTCTCGAGGATAGATGCGAGAGAGCAAGGAAAGGGAGAAAGAGAAAAGAAGAGGTTGGCAAGTGTAAGAAATTGAGTTCCGGCGTAAGAAACTTGAGCACTCCCGGTAGTTTCCTGTAACGCAAGGTCGACCGTTTCTCGTTATACGCAGAGAGACTTGTATAAAAGATGGTAAGGTATTTTTTGAAAAAGTAGAGCCAGGTGCATATGCTATACAATACACGCATCTCGCGAGCAAAAAAAAAACGTTATAGATAAACAATCATGTGTCCTCCATTCGATATTTTAATCCTTAACTTTCCTAATTATCTTGTGCACTTTTAATAATATACAATATTAAGTTGTAAACGCAGAGAAAAAGCAGCCTCGTTAAATTACGAGTCGGCGATAATCGCGCAATCGCTCTCGTAAAAAGGAATGAAGATCGAAAAGGGGTTCAGAGGGAGAAAAAGAGAAGTCGCGCCTTTTTTCCGCAGGTAAATATTTCGCCGCTATCGCGGTTTAGACACGATTTAATGGACGGCCATTAAATTTGTCGGCGCCCGGAATTCGTGCTCGATCTTCCTCCTCCTTTTAGGACACAGATAGGGGGCTCTGTCGGGGCCCGTTTATCGCCGCCACCCGGTACATTCGGTAGCCGGGTGTACGCCGATAGTGTACCTGCATCCGAGTGCCCCTCTCTCTCTATCTCTATCTCTCCCCCGGTTGGAAATTTGCATGGCATTTACATCCGATTGCGGCGCAACGCGGGCTGAAAGCGACGATCGCGGTCGCGGAAGGGGATGGAAAAGGGACGAGGGAGAGACCGAGGGGTCCCTTCGCTCGGACGGAGGGTCAGGGACGAGTAGATGCACTTACGTCGGAATTAGACATTATTTTGCCACTTAACTCCGACGCGTGCACCGGCTACGTTTCAGCGACTCCTTCCGTCCAGCGAGCTGCGTTTCGCGCCGTAAGTGCTGTTTACGAGACGGACAAGTTAAAAAGGGACCGAGGGGTGCCGTGTCTCTCTCGTCGCTCGGCTAGGAAAAGGATCGTTTGCTCGGTAAACGATCCCGATTTCTCTATCCCGGCGATGTTTATGCACGAGTTGGCGTACTATAATATATATATATATATATATATATATATATATATCCTTATCTTGAAAGACGAGAAAAGAGACTCGTTTGCACGTGTACGAATAGCTAATGTAAGCCTCGTCTATTTTATGAATTAATTTTTTTTTATTGCGATTTCGTAAAGAGCAATATGTAAGATGTTCCTTTTAGGATGCATCGTACATTAACATTAAGACAGGGTTAATTGATGGCACGTGGGTAGAAAAAAAATTATATAAATATGTATAATATTCCTTATTCATAAGAAGATATATTTACATAAGATTTAGAGACAAAACGAAAGATCACCGTCGCGTTGTCTGATGCAGAACCACTGGGTTTATGGGCGAAATTGACAGGTGCTGACAGGTAGTCGTAATTTTCTGCCCCGAGAGAGATTCCACGAGAGATCCAACCGCCGTAACGATATCGATAAATTCATTAAGCGCTTACACGTGTCCGGATCTTTCGTAATCATTTTTTCGCGCGTGCGCGTTACAAGGTCTGCAGGACGTTCCTTGCGCACGATAAAGATTACTCACTTCTTTTGAATCTGTGCAGTCACGCGATGACGCTAGAGCTCATCTCGAGTTGAATTCAACGCGACCTCCAAATTTCGTTCCAACTGAATTCATCGTAAGAATAATGCAGTTCCAAAAAGTTCGAGATCTCTATTCGTAAAAGTTTTGTAAAAGAGATCGAAAATAATTACACGTGTTGAAAAAAAATGTGTAAAAAACAAATAATAATGTTATATTAATGGAAAAAAATTCGCAAGTTTGAAGAAGAAGAAACTCTGTTATATGTTACTGCATTTCTAATTGTAAGATTAAGAACTAACGTGTGCAACATATTTACGCGCACACGTACACACACACGTGAAAGCACTCTCCGGGATATCCGAATGAGCACTCAAGGTAAAAAAAAAAAAAAACCGCGGGGTCAGGGTCATAGGTGCAGTTACGACGGAATTGGACATTATTTTCAGCGAGTACCAGCCACTTAACTTAGGCGTGCGCGCGCGTGTACACGTATATGCGTGTCATAGGTCCTATTATCGCGGCCACTTGGTGCCGGAATGACGATACTAGTCTGCCTGCCACTGAAGTTCGTACTACGAGAAAGAGAAAGAGAACAATAGAATACGGCTCGATCTATTTTCAAGCCTCTCTTCCAGTTACTTTATGCACGCTGCTTTGTTCAAATATTTTTTTTCGCGAAAAACGAGCGCCTTTTTTTAATAGAACATTATTTATATAATTTCTGATCGATTTGCAATGAATAGAAAAGACTCGCAAGCGATAACAAAGTGGAAAGCTTTGCAAACACACAGATTTGAGACTAGATCATGCATGACGCGGATCTTTGCGAAATCAGTCCGATCGCAGATGGAATCCGAGATATTGTATAATATATTGACAGACCGTGTCGTAGTAAAATATTTTTCCACTTTGTGTATATATATATATATATATATATATATATATATATATATCTTTCTCTCTGTCCTCCTTCCCCTTTCCCAAA